CTTCTTTTTCATATCTAGGGTGGTGGTCATTACTTAGCCGGCACACTGTTTCTTTGCTAGCATTTTTTTGGCAGAGTTTGCAGTCATAACAAAGAATTTCAACCCACCTAATAGAACTATACTTCATCTTTCTCTGCTAGTGTGGTTTTCAAACTGTGCTTGAGCTCTGTATTTTTGTTTGTTGTTAAATGCCCTATTTAGCTTTTCAAAATGTGCCTATATAATTTCTAAAGTCTGTGGTGAGTTTTCTGGTCTGTTTTCTATTAGAGATGGCACCATCATTTTATTTATTTTTCTTCCTAGCTCGAGTCTGTATATAGTCTTGTGGAACTGAAAGTTTTGAAAGTTTTTATGTTTAGCTGCTCTTAAGGAACAATTATATGTTGATATTTCTGAGTTTGGAAAAACTATCTGAAATGAAATCACACTTCATTATATTGACAAAAATGAACCATTGAGTTATATGGGTTTCTGTGAGACAAACACACATTCAATCAAATGTTGATAAATACATGTTACCAAGGGGCTTTTCTGCTTCTACTCCTCAATTTAGTTCACTCTAAATTGTAAACTAATCTCTGGTGCTGAAATTCTATTGATCTTCACACACGTTTGTGCAGTATCCTGAATAAGAAATGCTTTTTTGATAATTGGAATCTAAATTTGGCTTTATCTATGTTGACTAGTTTTGCCAAGTGTGAGCGTTCACACTGCAACATGATTTTTGTCATGAAAAACGGCCATTTTCATTGAGAGACAACTTCCAGCTCCATGAGGGACTTTTTTTTTCTTTTCCCTTCTGTATTTTATGTATTATTTTGTAAGCAAGTACAAGTTGTACTTCTCTAAACTAGGACACTCTGGTCTGGCAACATCCGTGGTCTGGGCCAGAGAGCCCAGGGCCAGGGAGGTCTGGTAGTGTGGACAGGAGCATGGCAAGGAGGGGCAGTGACAGGGAGGGACAGTGTCATGGCCAGGAGATCCGCATGGGAAGGAGGGTGATGGCGGCATAGCCAGGAGCCCCACAGTGTGGGGGACAGCGGCACAGCTGGCAACCCTGTGAGGCTGGTAGCAATGGGGTCACCGATGGACAGGGAGCTCCAGCCCTGGTGGCAACAGGGTTGGCAATGACCAGGGAGCCCCAGCCGGGCCAGTAATGGCCAGGGAGCTCTGGCCCTGAAGAGCAAAGGCCAGATGCAGGGGGTCAGGGCCTGGGCCCGAGCCTGATGGCAGCAGCTAGAACTCAGAAGCAATGTGGCCAGGACTAGAGCCTGAGCCTAGGCCAGAAGGAGCCAGCAGCGGGGAGGAGCAACGTGGTGGGAGGCCAGTGTCAAGGGACCTTCCCTGGTCCAGCAAATTCCCTTGTTTGGGACTGGTCATGTGCTGAGGGAGCCAGACCAGGGAGGTCCAACCTGTAGTTTTTAATTGAGGTGAAACTTGGGGGAGTACACAAGACAAATCAGAAAGGGATACAGTAATCCAGAAATGTCCAATGCCATGGTAATCGTGCATACATTAAACCTGAACATGAGTTCATGACAGGAAGTGAAGAATACCCCTCTCTTGTAGCTGTAGGGGATGTTTGGGAAGGTGGCTGAATTTCAACATTCCAGAATACTTGGGCTAACACTTTACTTTTACATGGGGTCCATAATGACCACAAGCATTTACAACCTTTTTTGATTTGATTTCCAAAAGATTTGCAGTAGTTATATCCATGTGCATTATTTTCAGTCTTGATTTTTCCTTCATTGGTAGAAACATTTAGGTAGGGGGGAAGAGAAAAAGGAGACTCATCAAGTAATCATGGTAAAAACCGAAAGATACTTTTTCATGTTTCCAAGTGTTCACAAGTCTGTCCATGTTCAAACAGATTCTGAAACTGGGCTAGAATTATGACCATTAATTTTTACTACTGATATGACTCAACACCCAGAGGGTTATTATCAGAGGTTAGCTATATGCAAGAACCTGCATTTTGTTTTGTAGTATGATGGTTTTGGATAGGAATTTATTAAACATCTTATTTCATAAGATTCCAGAATTAAGGCCCACGTAGGCGGGATTGAGTAGAGTGCTCAATGCAGGGAGGTATATGAAGAAAATCTCTTAATGTTCAGCTTCTGCAAGAGGCCACACTGATTGGCAAGTGGATTGAACTGACTGGTTTTTCTGACTGCAGTGCCAATACAGCAAGAGAGTCCTATAGAGATATAGTAATAGAAATGTAGCCGTGTTAGTCTGGTGTAGCTGAAGCAAAATACAGGACAATGTAGCACTTTAAAGACTAACAAGATGGTTTATTAGATGATGAGCTTTCGTGGGCCAGACCCACTTCCTCAGATCAAGTAGTGGAAGAAAATAGTCACAACCATATATGTCACTTGCCATGCTACTGTTATAGTGAGAGTACATTGATTTAATTGGAACGGTAGGACATAATTTGTACATATAGCAACTTTAGTATAACAGATTTCTGTCATCTTGTTGTACAGTACGTTGGTATTTTGGGCAGTGATCACCAGAACAATGTTTTTAAGTGATTTCAATATTATTTGGGAGAGGAACTATCTTTTTTTTTCTATTTTACTTTGCCTAATGTAATCAGGCCCTAGTCCAGGGGTAGGCAATAATTTTTGCCGGTGGGCCACTTCAAAAATGTTTGAAGTAGTCCCAGGCCACACCAGAAGGGCTGGAGCCTAAAAAGGAAGGTGCAGGGCTACCCCATCCCTAGACCATAATTGGTCTGGGAGTGGGGGAGCCCCTTTACCATTGCTTCCCACTAAGCACCCATGCCCTGAAAGAGGCTTTGCGTGTTCTCCCGTCACCAGCCAATTAAGGCTCTGCTTGCAGGGCACGGGCAGAGCAGAGAAGTTTTTGGGCTCTCCCCCATCCCTGGGCCTTAATTAGGCTGGGGGCGGGGGAGAAGCAGGACCTCTGCGGGCCAGATCCACCCGCTTGGTGAGCCAGATCTGGCCCGCTGAGGCCCTTTTGCCCACCCGTGCCTTAGTCCATGACCGAGGCTACTAGTTGGTATCATAGTATAAATAACAGTGTTTTTCATTTTCTTTTCTTAATTTCAGTAAGCTAGAATCCATATGCATGCAGCTATGTAAATTTTAATTTGAAAAGTAGTGTGTATGGTACATACAATATGTATTGCAAACAAAGTTCTCTGTTAAGACTGTTTGGGCTGAACAGTTAAACAAATGAAGAAATTAAGATTGCACGTACATCCTTAACTCAGCCTTTTCTTACACATCCAGTGTGATGTTTTTAATTACATATTCCCATTATTTCTCCATCATACATTTTTCATTACCCAAATAATATCTTGTAAACTCTTTGCATATACACTTGTTTCTTTGACTTATAAAAGCCTTTACATAATTTATGAAATTGATTACTCCTTAAGGTATATGTTCATAATTGAATTAGATGTTGTACATATATTCTTTACAGCTTCAAAAAATGCTATTCTGTGGATGATATACTTAACTATGAATCTTAGTTGCCTATCTATGTCAGCAAGTTGGTATAATGAGTAATGCACATTTCTTCAAGATATGAATATATATAAGGTCATAGAAAAGGTAGTATATAGTTTAAAGAGTATACTTTGATGCATGCTCACAAGGAGATAGAACTATTATTTGTGCAGCCTTAAAACATTGATTTTCAGACTTCTGGGTGTTTAATCTTGTAATTTCAATGTTCTTATTGTAAAGTAGGGAACTTTCCAGTATTTTTGAAATACAGAACTGGGGAGAGAGTAGGCAAGAAATACATAAGAAGCTTCATTCTTCTGGACCTCAAAGCTTTGCTGGCTTGCTAAAAATGAGCAATACTTGATTTTAAATTTCATAATTTGGTATTGTATGGACCACTTTCCTGCAAGCTTTAGGAACTGAATAACTAACATTACATCTTTCAAAGTACACAGAAATAGATCCCTAGCCCTTCACTCGTACAGTGTGCATTAGTACTGAGGTAATGGCAGCTTCAGAATTTTGACTCAGCACTTCATGAAAACTAGCCATGCAAGCAAGTGCAGTGTCCTTCCTTATACCCTTAATGAAGAAGTGATATGTAGCATTCTGCTGTCAAAAGCTCAAGTGTGAACAGGTTTTCACTGCAATATTCAGAGGCACTTTTTCCCAGAAAGCTATAACCCTGCCAGATTTCATCTTTCAGTTCATGGCTTTTCAATTGCAGAAAAGTTCAAGATTTTTTTACATTGGGAGAAGTGTAATGTTTTCATTCGGGTCCTAGTCATCATCTTAACTTCTTCCCCAGTAGCTGATAGTCTTTTCTGTGGTCTCAGGATCTCCTCAGATGTTGTCCAGTGATGGCCCTGGCCCTTTGGCTCCCTGTTCTGACTTCTCCAGACACTTCTTCTAGAGCTTGGCTCTGCCTTTGCCTGGGCAAATATGTTCCTTGGCATTATGGTCTCCGTCAGTTTTTTGGCATCCATTATTATGCCATAATGCTTTCCCAATCAGCAGCACACACACAGTGGGTGATGGAGAGCATGGACACAGTGATGCTTGACAAGCTGTTCAAAAAGGATCTGTAATGCAAATGTTCCTGAGTTATCACTGAAGGTATCGTCAGCAGTGTTAAGAGTAATGGGTTGCAATTTGGGCCACTTGCCTAATGTGATATGAGCACCTGCATATATAATAATACAGCTTCACAGTTCTTGGCTCCTTTTCACTATTATTGTCACCAGACACACTGGTTTGAATCATTTATTTTAATTCTTACCTGTTGCTATCCAGGGAACTTGTCACTTTTGTCTTTCTCACATGCCATCAGCCTTTGTTAGCTACTGTATCCTCAATCTGTCAGGAAAAGTTACCTACCTTTCGTTGCCATACAGATAGCCTTTGGTTGCCTTTACAAGAAAGTACTTTATTCAGAAACTTGCTTATGGCTTTCTCAAGAATGAAATAGTTGTTTCTTTTCCTAAATTCTGCCAATCTTGTTTTGTTTCTTAGGGTTGAAGAAATCAGTGACTTACAGTATGAAGAAAATGTATAAAATGACAAAAGGATGGCTAAGGAAGACTTCCTGATATTCAAGTTGTGTATATAATATTTATAGATAAATAAAGAGACCTCTTTTTCTCTGCAAATTTTGTACCATTAGTATCTGTTGCGTTACCAATCTACATTAACTGTGGATAGGTAGCAACAATTATACAGTATTATGTATCTGCACATACTTGCTCACATGGGGAATGGACCTCATTTGATTTAGAAAATTTGTTATAAGGCTGAGGGAATTGTTTTGCAAATATACTTAAGATTTTCCTGTGTATATATTAGAGATTTGACATTTTCCAAAAATGTTTGTTTGCACATCTGAATGCCCTCCCTCCCCTGCAAATCCTATATGTTTGATAGTTTTTCTTTCCAAAATAGTCTAGATTCTTTCCTCTGTTCTCATCTCCTGTCCCTTCTCAGGAGTTTATGGAATTGTGGGGTCCATTTGAGTTTTAAGTAGATATTAAAACTTTCCTCTTAAAACGCTTTACTTTTTACATTAAATCAATTTACATCACACCCATATTTTAAGAGTGCAGTATTATTCTATAACCCTTCCGCAGAATGGGATCCATCAAGAATACATTTTTCTTACAATACAACCCAGAAAATACTTGATGAGAGAGAAACATTTTGGAGGATATATTTCACTTTCTGCGCCATGTCTGGGAATGTAGGTAACTGAAGAATTACTGTCCAGTAAGGTATCTTTAAAGGTCAGCTGTTCTTGGCAATCCTTTTAGTTGACAGCAACATTACGCACAACCAGGTAGTGGCAGGGAAGTCATATTTCAAAACAAAGTCAATTTTCATTAAGCTTCTGCATCCAGTAATATGAAAGTGATGCAATATATTTTTGTCCTGCACTACAAACTTACAAAGTGCTTGACAATTCCTTTTGCTCTTTAGATCCAGTGATTTTACTTCTTTGCTTATCCACAACAGGATTTTCTTCACAGGTGTTTCGCATATGAAGAGGCTTGACAGAGGAATCCTTTTTCTCATTATTTGATCTAGCTTTAAAGCCAGTGACTGTAGCAGTAAGGGAAAAACAATAATATGGAGTGGTGAGAAATGGAGATTGGAGAATTTAAAAATAACTTTCCTGCAAACTGTACTTTTGCTGCGTAAGTCCATTTCTCAAATTAATCATTTGATTTCATTTAATGGGAAGATTTAGTAAAAGTTTAAATTGCAAAAGGAATTGAAGGTATAAAACCAGCTGTTAAATATTTTCAAGGAGTAATTTAGGCTTTATCATGCAGCTTAGAAATTTGAGTAGGACGCTGAGGAAATAATATACTATAACAGGGCTCAATTCAGTTCTGCATTCATCACCATTGAACACATGTTACAATCTATTATTTTAAAATCCTGAAAAGCTGAAAGTGGTTAAATTTACATCTAGAGTCAGTAAATAAAACTATAAATTGTTCCATTGAAAGCTTTCTTGGAATAAGAGTGGTAATACAGAACAATGAATATCCTCCCAACACCATTATTCATATTAACTGCCTTTCCTATATGTATATTGTTAGCATTTTGTCACCCATCAGTAGCTGGTTACAAATCTTGGAATAAGGTCAAGGAAACCAGACAAACATTTTTGTGGTGTGTGTACTTTCTGATAGTGGTTGGGGCTAAAATTTACATATTGACTGTTTTGGGGGGAAAAGTAACCAGGCAGCAAGGTAATTTTTATTAGAGAATGGCTGAAAACCCATTCCTTTCAGTAGGGATGTTAAAATATATTTATTTTGGTAAATGTGTAACAGCTGAATTTTTTAGCAGCTTGGTATATCTCATGGGAAGAAGTTGCCAAGTGAATCTTCCTGGGTTCAGAAAAAAGGATTTTGCACTTGGGTGGTGGCAGCATTACTTGAGGAGTTTTTAAGCAGAAGCCTATTTTTAAAGTCTCTTGAAGGCCACCACCTTCTGCACTCGAAGTGCCAGAGTAGGGAACAGCCTTGATGAAAGTGAAACTGGGAAAACAGGTTGACTGATTCCCATTAGCTGCCCCCCCCCTACACAATCTCTAATCAGTTAATGGGAACCAGCCAATGGGAAATGAGAGATTGTGCTGGGGTGGAGGCAGTACATAAAGTCTCCCTTCCCCCATGCAATGCAGCTGGCTGCTTTGAGCTCTGGAGCTGTGGCAGGCAGGGAGCATGCCCGAGGGTCCCACAGGGATTCTGGCAGAGAACCACCTAAGGGCGTGCTCCTCAACGAGACCCTGCCTCTGGCACCCAATCCACTCCCACACCCCAACTCCCTGCCCCAGGTCACCACCCAAACCCACTGCACCCTTCCACCCAAAGTCACAGCTCCCTCCCAGACTCTGCACACTCTCCTGCATCCTTCCCCCCAGGCTAGAATCCTCTCCACACCCAAAGCCCCTTCTTCACCCAAACTTCCTCTCAGACCCCACATCTTCTCCTGTATCCCAATCCCAACCCTAAGGTCACTTCTGCACCCAATCTCTATCCTAGATTCCACATTTCCTCCATAGAAAATTGTGGTCCTTGACCACATACCAAAAGCTTGGAGTGGCCCCCCCTAAAAAATTATTGCCCACCCCGGATCTAGACCATCCCTGACAGATGTTTATTTAACCCGCTTATCAATGTCTCCAATTATAGAAATTCCACAACCTCTGTAGGCAATTTATTCCAGTGCTTAACCAATTAATATCTGTAGAATTGTATGTTCCAGTGTATATGTGTATTCTGCTTTTGTAATCAAACTCTGAAAACATAAAAATATTTTGTAACAGGAAAATGTCCACAATTGTTTTTTGTAAAAAAATAATGTAGGTTCTTAAGGTATCTATCACTGAATATGGGAGTGAAGATGAAAAGAATCGCAGTCACAAGAATCTATGAACAGAATGTATATAACCAAATAATTAAATCATAGTGTTGGAATAGACCTCAGGAGGTCATCAATTCCAACCCTTTGCTAAAAGCGTGACCAATCCCAGTTAAATCATCGCAGCCAGGGCTTTGTCAAACTGGGACTTAAAAACCTCTAAGGATGGAGATTCCACTACTTCCCTAGGTAAGCCATTCCAGTACTTTACCACCCTCCTAGCAAAATATTTTTTTCCTAATATTTAACCTAGACCTCCCCCGCTGCAACTTCAGACTATTGCTCCTCATTCTGTCATCACTGGCAACGGCCTCTCTCCATCCTCTTTGGAACCCCCATTAGGTCATTGAAGGCTGCTACCAAATCCCCCCTAGCTTAGTGTCATCTGCAAACTTGCTGATGGTGCAATCCCCATCTCCTCATGCAGGTCATAAATAAAGATGTTGAATAAAACCAGCCTCAGAACTGACTCTTGGGGCACTCTGCTTGATACTGACTGCCAACCAGTCTTCGAGCCGCTGATCACTACCTGTTGGGCCTGACAATCTAGCCAGCTTTCGATCCATCATACAGTCCATTTATCCATACTTCCTTAACTTGCTGGCAAGAATAGTGTGGGAGACCGTATCAAAAGCTTTTCTAAAGGCAAGGTCTATCACATCCACTGACTTCCCTATGTCCACAGATCCAGTTACCTTGTCATAGAAGGCAATCAGTTTTGTCAGGTATGACTTGCCCTTGGTGAGTCCATGCTGACTATTCCTGATGGCTTTCCTCTCTTCAAAGTGCTTCAAAATGGATTTCTTAAGGATCCCCTCCATGATTTTTCCAGGGACTGTGGTAAAGTTACTGGTCTGTACTTCCCTGGATTATCCTCCTTCCCTTTTTTTTAAATAAGCACTACTTTTCCTTTTTCCAATCATCCAGTACCTCACCCCAGTCACCACAAGTTTTCAAAGAAGAGAATTAAAAAATTGTTCCAATAAATTAACCGATTTGTTGTATACTTTTCATATTTCATGTAAGACCCACTAGTTCTTCCTACCTAAGGGTGGTTTATGATTCTATTACTGTAATATGTAAAGACCTCAACAAAGATCAGTGTTTTACTGAACGAGGTGCTGTATAAACACAAAGAAGCTTTATGAACATGTAGAGTGTATGTTCTAAATCAGGGATAGGCAATAATTTTTGAAGGGGGGGCCACTTCATAAATTTTGGAAGTGGCCATGGGCTGAAGCGACCCACCCGGAAGGGGCGGGGCATCAGGAAGAAGGGGCGGGGTTGAGAGCTTTGCTTGGCCTGGGGTCCCTACCCCCTGATTTCTAGCCAATGGAAGGGACCTGGAGCAAAGGGGAGGATGCCAGAGCCTTGCGTCCTCCCAGAATTGTCTGGGGTAGAGCCTTAGAATTCACATAACATGGCTGGCAGCTCCTGTTGCCTGGCAGCTGTCTGGCAGGTGCAAGTCCTTTTTAAAAAAAAGCAGTTGAAAGGGCTCACACCTTCCAGCAGCTCCCAGGCAATGCGCCAGTGGGGGAAGAGTTATGAGCTTTTTTCAATTACTTCTGTTTAAAGGGCTTGCAGCTGCCAGGCAATGCAGCCACCCGGCAGGTGAGCCCTTTAAATAAAAACAGTTGAAGGGCTCACATCTCTGACTCACTGCTACGCGCTAGAGGCTGTGAGCCTTTTTAAGCCCTTAGCGTGTTGCTTTGAAGCTGGAGGGGAGCTGCGAGCCCTTTTAAGTGCTTCTGTTTAAAGGGCTCATGCCTTCCCTGCTCCTGTCAGGCAGCATTGCCTAGCAGCTGCAGGGAACACAAGAGCCCTTTAAACAGAAACAGCTGAAAGAGTTCATGGGTCTCTGGCAACAAGCTAGAGGCAGAGAGCTGTGAGCCCTTTCAGCTGTTTTTATTTAAAGGGCTCATGTTCCCCATGGTTGCTAGGCAACGCATTGCCTGATAGGTGCAGAGAAGGCGCCAGTCCTTTAAACAGAAGCATTTCAAAGGACTCACAGCTCTCCGCACCCCTCGCGCATAGCCAGGGAGCCAGAGACATCAGCCCTTTCAACTGTTTCTATTGAAAGGGCTCGCACCTTCCCCGCAGCTGCTTGGCAAGACACGAGCCCTTTCAATAGAAGCAATTAGAAGGGCTCGTGCCCCTCTCCAGCTTCAAAGCAACACGCTATGGGGCAGGGCCTGGAAATGCCTCGCCGGCCAGATCAAAGCCCTAGGTGGACCAGATCCAGCCCACTGAGAGGCTTTTGCCCACCTCTGTTCTAAACAGACAAAATTAAGTATGAGCCAAAGAATATCAGTATCCCTCATTTCACAGTGTGGTGAAGGGTTCAAGTGGCATGTCCAAGGTCAAAAAAGATGACAAAGAACTGAAAATTGAATCCAGGTCCCCTAATTCACAGTCCAATGTTTACAAAATCTTATGAGACGCACAACTAGCAACTGGCTGAGTGCGCTATTAGCAAAGCTCTTACGCACATCCCTAACTCAATCCCTATTCACTTACACACTTAGGGTACATCTAGATAGTGGGGCTATTTCAGGGTACTGGAGGTATCCCAAAATAGCTACTCTGCATCTTTTAAATGCACCTGAAATATTTTTCGAAATAACGTGTGTGCTATTTTGGGATCCCTGTAA